GTATTATTTATTTATTTATTTAATTTTACAGATGTATCTTCCATATAACCATGCACTTAACAGACATTTCCTCTAGGGAGCATATACGGGGTTTTTGCATGTGAAGAGGAGAGGGTGGGTCTTTGCAAAAATTTGCAAAAAAACTTCCATTATACCTTTAACTAACAGTTAAAGGTCAAATGTTGTAAGACATTTCCAAAATGAGCACACGGCCTCAGCTGAACAACACCTAAAGGGAAGAGACAAAAAAAAGAAGCTGTTTCAGACTGATTAGAGGAAAATCAGTTCAAGAAGTGCGTGAAGACTGCAAATTTCTCTACATATGCAGGTTGTGTTGCTGCTAATGAGGTAATCAGGCACTGGAAGCTGTACACAGACAGATAACATAGAAAAGAATTATTGTACAGAAAACAGACAAACAGGACTATAAAAATGAAAGAAAATGACACAAAACAGCAAATGAAAGACATCCAGTCTGCTCTGTTGCCTGTGAAGAGTCCAACGACAAAACTGACAAAACTAGAGAGAATAGTGCTTACTGTGGACCCAGCAGGAACACAGAAACAGCTGAGCTGATGCCACTAAAAGTCCAGAAACTCTGAAGGTTGGTGGATATTGGTTGTGGAACCGAATGCAGAGCTAAAGAGTCAGGGATGATTTCTTGCTAGATTTAATGAAAAAAGTAAAAATATTGAATCCAAAGTCAAGAACCAATCGACAAGAAACTCAGGAACCAAAAACAAGGAGACACCAGGGAGGAATACATGTAAAGATTGACAATGATCCAGCAATGAGTAACTCAACAGGAGGTGTAACTATGGGGAACAGAACAGTGGGAGGACTAAGTAGCTGACAGGGAGCAGCTAGAGAAAAAATAGCTAGAAGGAGCTAAGGGGAAAGCTAAGGACAGTAGGGGGCAGAAAAGAATTACGAGGGGAAACAATGGGATCTAAATCTATCTGGAAATAACTTAACCTCTTAACATCCACCTCATTTTGGGTAATCCTCACCTAATTTCCAAACCCAAATGGAAAAGCAAATAACTTAGGAACTGACAGCCCAGATTACATACATTATCTGAAAGCTAACACCCTCTAGTTTCCTAATATATGAATTTAAATTGGGTGACTAGAACACAGACCAACCTGCATCAGTTCAAACATGACTCAAAGTTGTTTTTTGTTTTTATTCTCAGAAATGATAGGTCTTTTTTGAACAGCAGTGATAAAGACATTCTTGAGAAAAAGCAGAACATATGCAGACTATTTCAGACCTCTAGCTTTAATAGTTCCAGAGCTGTGAGGTTTGGAACTTTTGGTGTCAGCTTGGAGCTGTGCGCAATGGCTCCACCTGCTGGTAAAAATTTATCGGTGGAATTTTATGCATTCTGAGTTATTACCCCCACTTAAGGTCTTAAGACGTTAAGTTAAACTAATGCGAAATAAAACTAATGACTAAAATACTGTCTAAGAGCCAAAAAAAAAAGGTTAAATCACTGACAATTGCTGACAGCTCTTTAGCGCATGCTCTGATCTTTAGCTGTATAACCCGGTCTGCTGGCTGTCCAGAGAAGAGGTGCTGAAACTTTAATGAGCAGGGATCTATTTCAAAAGGTTTATTTAACAAACTCAGATTCAAATCCTCAACTCTAAATTGATCTAGCCTAAAGTCGAGAACTCTCAGTTTTCGGTTTCACAACGGCTGCTATGAATCAGTTCAATCTACTCTAAGTAGAACCACTCAGAGTTGAACACATGTGTAACAAATATGAAAAACCAGGGCAACTAGAAGGGCTTATTTCACCCCGCTGGAACTAGATTTTAATGCTGAAAGAAAAATAAAATGTAGAATGTTTTTAAAGGACAGAGAAACAGCGCTTCAGCTGCAAAGAAGACGAAGGTGGAGAAGAAGATTGTTGCTCGAGTTAATGCTCAAATTTATATGAAGTGGACATTTATTTGTTTAACATTTATTAAACACTCTTTCCTCTCTGTTGTTCCATTTTTAGGTCACTAAAATAAGATTCTTCCTGATGAAAATCACATTCCTAGAGTGAACTATAGTAATATATTTTCTTAAATATATTTTTGCCACAGAAACTGAATTTCAGGAAGTTAAAAACAAAATTATATTAGAAAGAATTGAGTTTTATATACCTAGAAATATACACCCCCCCCCCCCCGCATGTATACTGTAAAAATAAATTCATTAAAATGATTCTTATGTCGTTCATATTAAACCAACCAAAGACACGTAAATCTCATATCCTGTCACTGATCTGTAGAATCCTCTCCCTATAAATACGTCATTCTCTGTGAATTAATTCCCATCATTCTTTAATAAGATCCTCATCAGACGGACACGCAATGTTTGTTTTTAAAACCTAATGTGTCAAACAAACCTAGTTAATAATTAATTTTTTTATGCACAAAAATCATACTAAATCAGAAAATAAAACAGCATGATTGGCTGAGAGCGCAGACAGAGGACACTCTGAGTTTACTGAAGAAAACCTGCTGCTGACCAGGTTAGCTTTAATGGTTTCAAGTTGAGGAAACAGAGTTTTCAGTGAACCTGCTTTGTGAAATGGACCGATGGTCTGACAGAATAACAAAGGGTGTGTTTGTTGTTGTGAGGCACTGAAGTGATGGTTCCAGATTGGCTGACTTTAATGGTTTAATGGTTTTCCCGTGGTGGTTGGGGGATGTGGGGTGATCTCCTGGGTTGTTCTGGGAGGATGGCTGGTTGCAGATGAATCAGAAACTTGAATGGAAAGATGAGCAGCTGGCAAAGTGGAGGCTGGAAAGTGTTTGATCACGTGGGTTCATCCAGGAAGGCACAAGGAGGAGTGAAGCAGCCAACCCAAGTCTCTGCAACACAGCAACATAGCACTGACACAGCAGCAATGCAGCTTTATGAAATGCTTCATAAAGCCGCTGTCACACCTTGCTGATTTATCAAGCATCTGCCTGACGTCCCAGAATCTCCTAAAACGCTGCCATACGCTGAACTTTCTATGGATTGTTTCTATTCTGGGTGTAAACATAGAGTATTCATAATGAGTCCAGAACTTCTGTCCAACCACAGCCTAACTTCTGCATAACACACGGCAGCTTAATGCCCATGAAATGATGCACAAGCCAGTGTCCTGAGAGGGGCAGCGATGCACCTGGCTGCTGTTTACCACCCACCCAAAAGAAAAGAATAAATAAATAAAAATAAAAATAAAAAAAGAGAGTTTTTGGCGTCGGCAGATTGAGCTTCATGTCTGCTAAGAAGTGTGTTGGTGGTGGGGGTGAACGCAGGGAGGATCCATCACTCCCCTTCTGGCTCACCCTATGATGGGGATGAAGTCTGGAGGAGAACTGACGGTTTCCTCCTGTGAACCCCCTTTATACCAAAACGCTGCCAATACGCCATTATACAGTAGCTGGAAGCTAGAAACACGTTCAGCGCTCGTCTGGAACACGGCAGATACCTTGATATGCGATGGAGAGAAGTTCTGGATAAGTTATGCAGAATTAATGCACAAGTTACTCAGAGGTTTAGGATAAGCTAGACGCCACGACTGATGAGGAACTTAAAATTATTGCGTGTCACAATAATGCGACGTACCTGTACATTCTAGCCCATGTATGAGAATTTGCTGGCATACCTAAAATCTATTGAAGTACTTGCCATCTGTCGCGTGCCAGCCTGCTTCAGTTTGCTAATAACTTGTAAATTATTCAACGTACGCTAGCGTTTTTGCCAAGTTTCTGGTACGTTGCCATATGGTGGCTAAATCGTCAAGGCGTGAAAGCGCAGTAAACATTATCGTAACAAAACATCTGCAAGAACATCAATAGCGACTGAAGATGCTTTGAGTGAAATTAATTTTTTCTACAATAAGAAAAACATGAAAATAATGTTGGCTGAATGGTGTCATGGTGTCTGAAATCTCAAAGAGGATAACACAGATCACATAATTACATCCAACCTTGGCGTACCCAGTCACATCGGAGGGCTGGATGATGTTGCTAATGGGGATATTAAAAAGAGTCCCGTTAGAGTCACCTATGGCAAACTAACAACATTTTGAAGTGTTTTTTAGTGAACCTGTGGGATCTTCTTCAGCAGGAGACACTGATTACACCAAATACTTCATATTTGCACCATAGATATTAACGCTGTGAACTGCCATATCAATGGTTTTTTGTTTCTCCCACACTTTAGATTTGATCACTGCTTTATTTTAGGAATGGAAATATCATGAAAAGCTGTACAAAATGAATATCTGTTTATACAAAACAACAATAAAAGATGCTCAGTCTAGTGTAGCAATTAGAAACTTTTTAGAATTACTTTTCTTTAATCTTTAAAAACTCAGAACTGAGGAAGTCTCTTTGTTGAAAGTCTTCTACAAATTTCAAGTCAAGTTGCCTAAACTATATTTTTCAAGCTTGACCGTGACCTGGATGTCTGAGAATCCTCACAGATGCTTTTCTTCATTATACTTTGGGTCCAATTTTCAGTCATTTTCTGTTAGTTTGTTTTTTGTGTGTTTTTTCTATAGCTTTTATGTACTGTGACGGACAAACTAACTAATGTTAAATCATTATACTGGACTGGATAATTGATGCAGACTTCTTTAAAGGTTTTTTTTTAAAACACCCAAGGTAATTGTACAAAAAGCATAATCAATAGTAGACATCACATAATGTCCTCGGCAGAACTAATATAAAAAGAAGCCAAAACCCTGTTTTAAGGAAAAATGACCTTTTCTTTCTTCCAGGCTACTTCTAAGCATCTTTATTCAGGGTCTGGTCTCATATGACTTGGTGGTTTTCTTGTGTTTTGTCTCTGATTAATTTGAAGTTTCAATTAAAATTGAACATTTCTTATGGATTTTAATGTTTTTAGTCCTTTGGAACAGAAACACCTGTTTTATGTGAATGTCTCTGTGGTCTGGGCTTTAGTATTTAAGAGTAGTAAAGTAAGAGTGAGTTGTATTTGTTTGATTATCTGCAGGTTCATTTGAAAGATGCGTCTACATCAAGTACCACTACTCATCTGCTGCCATACCCAAAAATCTGTCCTACAACATCACCAAGACAATACGACAGGATGAATGGCACTCCCTACGTAAGTCTGATACGTCCCGTATTATTCTTTATATCGTTTATCATACATTTATATGAACTTATTTAGCTTAATTATATATCTTTTTACTATCCGTCTTATCTACCGTAATGAGCCATACTTTAGGAGCTATTTCCTTCATTTTGGATCTTTCATATTATAGTCATAACTATAATATA